TGAATAAAAACCTCGACTTCGTCTCGGTTTTTATTCACCGATAATCACCTCGCCTTCGGCGAATAATTGTTAATTAATGCTTGTATACGTTCAAAGATTCAAAGAGTTAAGGTATGGTTTACACTATCAAAGTTTCTGTGATCACAGTAGGAATTTTGCCTAGGTAAATTCTAAGTTTTGAAGGATTTGTAAGAAATGTTTGAGGAAACTGAATCAGTGGCGTAACGCAACCTCCGGAGACCCCCGTCAAATTTTTAAGTGGGGGCCCTATTTTTCCCCAAACAAGCGAGCGGTCCAAATTTCATAATTTCACCAATTCCTGCTTTTGGGGGCTACCCTTGAAAATTTTCGGGCCCTCTATAACTGAGGCTCGGGGTAATTTGCCCAATGTACTAGCAAAAATGTTATGGTCATTTTTGCTGCACCCCCCTCCCCCCGCCACCACCACCCCCAGGCGTGGGGGCCCACCATCTCTGGACACCTGCCAGTTACACCACTGAACTGACTCAATGTTAAACGCTGGTTCAGTTTCCTCAAACATTTCTTACAAATTCTTCAAAAATTAAAATTTACGTTTTCAAAATTCCTACTGTGATCACAGAAACTTTGATAGGGTCAATCAACCTGTATCTATAACCAGGGTGCATTGTTTTCTTTTTTCCTGCAGCAAAAATCAAACGCAAGAAGCCAATTTGTGTAAAATAAAAAGCAAGTTTTATTTTCTTGTCCAACAAGTCAATGCCCCTGTCAAAGGTAAGACTTAGAATTAGAAGTTCTTTGCTTCCAGATTTAGAAGTTCTTTGCTTCAAAGAATTAGAAGTTCTTTGCTTCCAGTATTAGAAGTTCTTTGCTTCAAAGACTTTGCTCAATCTGAAATCTTCATTTTTGCCCAATGCAATGTTACAGTATATATTTTGATTCCACTGTGTTTACCATTAGACGGTCAGACGGGAGTTCTTCCTGAGGAAATCATTTCACAGCTTGTGGACGAAGCGATAGAAATTGAATCTCAGACGAAGAAAAACGAAGAGGGGAGGTATTACTGCAAACATTCCATGTCTAAGCTGTCGTGGTTTATGTATGATCTCTGTGGAAAATTTAATAGCCAGTAGACAAATACTTTGTATTTTACTTGTTCTAGTAACGCTGCATTCGATCAGTATGGTTTCTACACGAAGTTAGATCGAGGTGATGATGATGCCTTGGCCGCTGTCGCTGATAAATTGAACAGAAAAGTAAGAAACGTTTTAATATGGAGTCTTCTAATGATCATCTCAGTCGCATGTTACACCCCCCCCTGTTGGGACGGCCCTAGGCTTGTAACCTTTCTGAATAGTGCAATATTCTAAAATTGGGG